GAAGGGGGATTGGAATCCTTGGCCCATATAGCTTAGGTAGCCAGTTCTAGTCCAACCAGGGCTACGTATTGAAACATAGTTTCAAAAAATTAAAAATAAAACAAAACAACAATAAGAATAACCAGGGGGCTGTGGTGGCGCAAGCCTTTAATCCCAGCACTCGGGAGGCAGAGGCAGGCGAAACCCTGTCTCGTAAAAACCAAAAAATAAAAAAAATAAAAAAAAATAAAAGAATAACACAAAACAGTATCAAAAGACACCCACAAAACTGAGGAATAAAACCAGTGTAAAACGAGTCATCCCACTGCCACTGCCAGGAAATGCAGAATTTTGCAAACACTACAGAGGACAAAAACAAAAAACAACAACAACAAAAAAGAGATATATTGTATTCAAGGAAATACAATGCACGGTACTTGCACTGAGTAAATAGTGGACTGAAATTGTGTCAGATTACAATGCTAAAGCATGGGATTAACTAGTGTGATGCTTGCCTATTTCCAAGGTGGCTTCCACAGACCTCATAAACCTAGAGTCACAGTGAGGAGCTGGCCAAGGCACTCTGGATGCTGCTAAATTTAATTCATTATAACTTCATTTTCTAGTGTACGGAATGGAGATGTTCAAAAGACCTCTGTATGGGATGGATCTCTTTCAACAAGACAGCTGCTGTTGACAGAACCGAGAAACATCTTTCTCTTGTGACAAATTCTGCAAATGTCCTCTTCAAAAGGGGAAGTCACCCTTAGAGCAGAGAGCATAGGTCCCTTAGAGCAGAAAGCAGCAGACCAGTCAGAAGACCCATCAACACCCCTCACACAAAAGAAACCACCAGCTCTATCCGGTGGCCGGAAGGTTACAAGCAAAGTAACACATCACATTTGATTTCCTTGTCCCCTTTGGTTCCCATATTTCCTGACACAACTGTGAAATCCTCTTCAACACATTCAGTGTGTTGGTCAGATCTTCAATGCTACTGAACATCACCTGGGGTAGAACTAAGCAAGTCAATGAGTGACAGAAATGAGCCTAGTGCGTTAGGAAATCGGTACTGACGTAAGCAGAGTTTAAGAGATTTTGCTTTACTTTCTTCGCTCCTCTGGCTATCGCCTTCCAATTTCCAGACTGGATGAAACTGACTGAAACCAAGACGCACAGGAAATTGAGAAACAGAAAAAGGGAAAGAAAAGATTTAAATAAGCTGGGAAAAATACAAAGTTAATGAAAGAGCAAGGTAGGAAGGTAGGAGGTGATTAAAAGACTGGAAAGGAAAAGATAAGTTCCAGAAACAGAGAGCACAGGTGACAAACAGGGACTGTGGAGCCATGCTGTCTCCAGGGGCATCAGCCAAGAATGACCTAGAACGACAGGGAAACAGCCCACACCACAGCATGACCTGTGCGGCATGAAGAGGCATCTACACTTGGGGGCATTTACTACACAAGGACATTTGACCGGCAGATTCCGTTTGAGAATTTATACATTTGGGACTCTGGAGTCAGCATTCAAAGATTTAAACTCCAGCTTCAAACTTTACTATCCCTTAGGACCTTGGGGAAGTCACTTCTTCATTTTGAAAGTAGAAATGGTATCACCCTCCCCAAGTCCTGCCTTGAGAATGCAAGGAGACCATGCATGTAAAGCCACTGTTTACTAAGCACTCCCGATGAATAGATACTGTGAATCTCCTTGACAAAAACTGACAGGTGCCTCGAGAAGCAAGTAAGCGGTCAATCTGTGATGTACAGACAGGACTTATTAAGAGAGTCTTTTAACTATCATGGTTAAAACTGTATTGTTTTAAGTTAGCTTTCAATTTTCCCCTAAGACTGTATAGATGAGGAAGATTCTGGGTACTAATTACAGCGTTTCCACAGCAACTCTATTACTGTGTGTTCATACTACTTTTTATAGCAAGGAGGGTGGTGCGTTCCAGAGGCAGGGGAGTATGTGAGTTTGAAGCTAGTCTAGTCTATGTAGTGAATTCCAGGTCACTCGGGGGTGTTTAATGAGACCTGGTTTCAAAAAACAAAAGGAAGCAAACCAAAATCATTATACATATATACATACATATATATACATATACATACATGTATATATGTATGTATAATCATTTTCTTTAGGTCAATGCCTATGTGTTGAAAAATGTTAAAATATTAAGAACATACTTATTAAAAACTTGTAATCAGGAGTTTTCTGACTTAGTATCTAATACACTGATTCCCTTGGCCTGTAGTGTCTAGGAGTAGGGTTTAGAGTATATTATACATTGAATGAGTTGGAGTTTTACTGTCTTGATGATTAATTCTGGAATGCTTTACATTAAAATCCTTTCATTTTTAGGTTTCTCTTTGTCAACCCAAATTAATAAATAAATAAATCCCCTCTGACAGAAATCATTACTTATCTTTGTAACAAAATCTGGGAAGCGTCAACACTCTAACTTAAAATGAACTGACTTGCAGCCATTGACAAAAAATTATTAAAGTTGTAGTAAGTCTGTCTTTGTTTTCTTGGGAGAACTAGGGATTGAACCCCATGCCTATGCAAAATCAGCAAGTGATGTATACTGACCTTCATCTGCAGCTCAGAATTAGTTTTAAAGTAAATAAATAAAATTGCTCCCCCATTGATCTCACTTCCCTAATCTCTTCTGTTCAAAATCTCTCCACTTTGACAAATGCAACTCTACTCCACAAAATTGTACCTGTCTCATTTATTAAAATCTTATTAATTTATTAAAAACACAAATACTATTTCCTCACCAAACTATTAATAGATTTCCCAGAAAAATTCCACAATGGTTTCTGTACAAATGCCAGTGCTCATGTTTAGGCCGCCGTGACTTCTGTACTGGTGATTCTAACACACACCGTTCCCAATGTGAGTTAGAGGACAGCAGTGCCCAGCATCGACTGTGTGAGGCTCCCACCCTTGGAATGATCTTCACATCGCTCTTTTCAAAAGAATACTTCCTAGCTTGAGGTCTCAGTGCTGACATCCTTCTGAGCACAGGGCTTATCAAGCACCTCTTTAATGAGATCTTCTGTGTCTCCCACTAAAACAATCTAACTGCCTGCACCAACTTCCATGTAGTCATCTTGGTCCAGCAGCTGGCTACTCCTAACTTCAATCACTCTAGTTTGCAGACTGTTTTATCTTACAGCATCATAACAGGTAAAATATTCAAATGAGTACTCAGTAAATAGATTTGGAAACTGCTACACTGTCAAAGCGTTTGAATCCAACAACATTGAGGCTCCCTAGGGAAGAATGCACTATTCCTTCTCTAACAGAGGGCCAGTCTTATCCATCTTTTCCTCAATGGAAAAGAGGAAAAAATTCACACCACTTAGGTCACTGTACTTCCTAAGGTTTCTGATGAACAGGAGAGAGAAGCTAGTTGTGGGGACAAGAAATTTATCTTTTCCAAACTGTTCTGAAGGCTTAAAGCAGATAAAGTCTGCCATTTGGATGAGATCACTTGCTCTTACTGATTTGTAAAATTACAAAAACAGAGTAACAACCCCTAACTTGAGTCCCAATCTTTATTTTCCCAAGTGGTTTGTGTCCAGAGGAAACTGTCTTGTCTGTGCAAAAACAAAACCACAGCATCTACTGCAGAACAGCGGTTCTCAACAGGGAGACTAACTATAGCATCTACCATTGCCTTCTACAGGACAGTGGTTCTCAGATGGAGACTAAAAGCATCTACCATCTACCATCTCCTACTGCAGGACAGCAGTTCTCAGATGGAGGCTAACTACACCATCTACCATCTCCTACTGCAGGACAGCGGTTCTCAGATGGAGACTAACTACACCATCTACCATCTCCTACTGCAGGACAGCGGTTCTCAGATGGAGGCTAACTACACCATCTACCATCTCCTACTGCAGGACAGTGGTTCTCAGATGGAGGCTAACTACACCATCTACCATCTCCTACTGCAGGACAGCGGTTCTCAACAAGAGGCTCAGCAAGAAGGGGCATGAGTGGGAACTGGAAATCAAAGAGGGTATTCTAGGTTGATTCAATGATCACTGTCATTTCTGACATTTAAAAGTGAGTACTTGGAGGTTAAAAAGGTCATGTGATGTATATGTCAGTCCTACACAAAGAAGCCTGTCTCACAGACTAATCACATAGTCAAAAATGCTGTTGATAAATATTTGGGCAAAAAACTCACGCGTTTCCCCATCTTTTACCATTTAAGCAATAGCAGTCCCAGGAATTGACATAATACCAAACTATGCCCAATCCAAACCTGTATGAAAAGTTCATCACTCCTTCAGAAAGCCATGCTAAACAACAATGCTACTTGTGGTATTTAATACAGACCTATACAATTCTTTCTGTATCCCTTGCATAGGAATCCTGGGTAAGTTTCTTTCTAATTATGTGTATCTGACCACTTGGCTGTGAATTCTAATATTCATACAACAGCACTCACACAGTGAAGTATATATTATGGGATCTAATATTGACTTCAGAACATTTCTTAGGTCATATTTTGTTTCACTTCAGGATATTGAATGGGTGCTCATTACATAGAAGGGGAATGGCCTTCCATCTGCCTTGTGGTGCTAAATGAAAAGCTGGACTTATGACTAAGGAAAGGAGGGCACGGAGGACAAAGTCCTAAGAGGGAGAAAGCAGCTAGCCCCTGACTTACACGGTGGCCCTGAGCACAGAGACGAGGCAGAGGAGTGCAAGCCTCCTCTCTACTTGGCTTCTAAGCTTCCATTCTCCCACACAGGACCCTTACTGCTCCCCAGACTCTGCGCCGTCCTGGACCACCTCACAGTCTACTCAAAGCACTAAGAAGACCTGATGCTCACAGCACAGAACAGAATCGAACAGAGCACACTGGAGCTGCTCGGGAGCCTTTTCAACCTGTCAGCATCTGTGGCAGGGAGGTCACCTCCGCTTTCAGCAGCGGCAGAGAACGCTGTCACGTTTCACCTCTCGTTGGGTAACAGACTTCCAAAGGCTCTTACCTCGGTGGTAGTTACGACGTCAGCAGACGGGCTGCACGTGCTGGTGTCTGGGAGAGCCGTGCCAACGCTGCTCCGAACTGGGGAACCGGGGACCGGGCCTGCCATGGTCTCTGGATACACTGAGGATGAACTAAGGGTGCCTCTCTTCTGAATCCTATTCCAGACTTTACTCATCGTATCAGCCAACTCATACAACAGCTGGACCTGAGCACAAGGGGGGTGAGAAGAGTCACGCTTTCAAGTTCTGTTCACAACCCACTAAAATGCCAGAGAGAGAGAAAATTCACAGGTCCAAAAACAGAAGCGTCTACAAAGGAGATAACTCCCAGGACAACATGGTTCAAGGTCTGTTTACAGTAGTGTCAAACTCTCATGTGCTGTTACGATCAAGGAAGCGCTTCCACGGACGGCAGCCGCATAACCAGCAGAGGCCCTTATGGAGCGGTGGGTCCCCTTGAAGCCATGATAACGGGACAAACACAAATGCCTCTCACACAGAGAGACGGCAGAAAGTAGGAGGCAAACACAAACCCCGGCAAATGGGAACCATGAAGTGACCGCCAACCTGCCTTCCAGATAATTCCCTAAACGTTCTCTGCTTTGTTCTGAGATAAAAAAAAAAATCTCAGATGGGATTTCTTTCGAGGCAAATGAGAGGGCAGATACAGCAGTGGGGAAAGGAAAATGCCACGTTACGAGAATTCTAGAGGCAGAAAACACATCCCATCTACTTCCCCTGGGATATGCCATTCCAGGATTCAGAGAAAGAGAAAAACTGTTTAACTTGTAAACTGTTTGACTGAGTTCTAAGATACTTATAAAAGATTTCATAAGTAAGCATTAATCATGGAATTTGTATGAGAGCATGTTGGCATACACTTACTACATAAAACGAGCCTGGGGGAGGGGGGGAGAGCACAGCGCATAAGCAAATCCACAGCTGGGTGCCAGGCTCTGATTGCCATTTTTAAAAAGTGAAATCCTTGTATTTATAAGAAGTTTCAGCCTGGGGACACATCAGATGCGGAGTCTGGCTCTTCATGAGGGCAGAACAGGCACAGAAACCCTGTTGCCAGTGCCTCCTTACTCAAAGCAGTGTAGGCTACCCCATGCTCTAACGTGTTTTGTGTAAGGAGTTCTCGAGTCTCCGGTCATAGATATTCCTTGTTTTAAAATGATTTAATAGCTATAAATACTACAAAAAAAAACTTCATAGAAAGAATACTTCAAGTCACTTTCCTTTGCATAATGAAATATTTTTCTCTTAAACAACTTTGTTGCAATCCAAATCCTTAAGAAGGCTTGCTTTAATTTTTTTTGTAAATTAAAGAATTGCCTAACAAGGGAGCATTAATGAAAGGAAACAAGTTCCACTCCTGGGGTTCAGGGTATTTACTTAAGAGGCACAATACTGTTTTTACTGTTACTGCTTCTAATTCCTTCAACTGTTATGTTTTTTTCAAACGATGTAAGAAACACATGTGTTTAACCTGGCAAATAAACAATGACATAAACCTCCAATGTAATTTTATTTTCAAAGAAAAACTTGCTAACACATCACTTCTCCTCCCAAATAAAGCAAACGTTGAGGATAAATGATCAACTTTCAACCTTGGAGTTGAACTGAAACACTGAGAAGTAAAATCACAACAAAATTAGGATGTGTGTAACTAAAAAGCCTAACTAACCATCTGTTACCACGGGGGACAGAAACTCTCATTTTTTATTGGTAAGAGTATGAAACTTAAATCCAGTTTGGCAATTTTGAAGAAAGTAAATATCTACTATAATATGCAGGCATTTCAAGTAGTATTCCTAAAAACAAGAGCTGCTGTCAGCAGAAACATAAAACAAATGTCTAGAGAATGATCTGTAATAGCACAAAATTAGAAAACCTCAAAATGTTTAACAACAAGCACTCAACAGCTGAAGTAAAGTCCTATAGCCAGATGTTACACAGCAATAAAAAAAGGAGTGACACATGTAAAATATGGACTAATCTAAAAATGATTGTGTAGAATACAAGGGGCCAAACAAAATCACAACTGCATGAATCCATCTAAATAATGTCTGAGGAAAAGGAAAAGGAAGTAGGGTTTCAGAGGAATATAAACAACTTTTGAGGATGGCTTAGCGAGCAAGGATATCTCAAACTTTTTCAAACTGGGTAACTTAAACACAGAGTTTATTGTACACTAAGTGTACTTCAGTAAACTGGATTAAGATATAAACGAAAAATAAGCATCAATGAAGGAATTGTTCTATGAACTGTGTGTAAGGAAACTGAATAGCAATGCCATAGAATGAGTATGAAGTACTGGCTAGATAAAAAATGTTTTATTGTTTAAATATTCAGAGATGAAGAAAATAATACCATAAAGGATGGAAGTCAGCTGGAAGCTTAGACTTAAAACATAAGTGGTTACCATTGCGATCTAGAACATGAAATTGGTGCCTAAGAATCTAGAACACGAAATACATACTCATTAACATCAAGAAATCAGGACCTGCTAAAACATAGAACATGATATAGATGCCCACTGAGATCTAGAACATAGAACGGATTCCCTCTGAGATCTAGAACATGGAATGGATGGCAACTGGGGTCTACAGCATAGCATGGCTATTCACTGAGATCCAGAACACGATAGGATACCCACTAAGGTCTAGAACATGAGAACCCAGTGAGGTCTAATAAATAAGGTGGAAACCCACACCCACAGCTTTGTTTAACTACTATCCACGCAGCAGTCTGTCCCCACAAGGACCAAGGAAGCCAGCTGAAAACAAAACATGCCCGATTTCATGAAAGGAAAGATAGGGAGGGAGAGAGGAAGAGAGGAAGAAAAGAAAAGAGGGAGAAGGAGAGAGGGAGGGAGAGATGGAGGGAGACAGGCTACACAGAAGAGGGAAACATTTGCCCAAATCACTTATGCTCCATCTCTGAGCAACAAGGAAAGAGTTGCCTGGTTAGGGAAGAGAAAAGGAATTAATCCCAGAATTTATGAATTGAAACAGTTCTAGACTCTTATTCGTGGAAACATTACAAATCAGCCATTTTCATTTCTACATACTGTTATATCTTATTTTGTCATTATCTAGACTATTGTCATAGTAAATGCTGGGAAACGCACATACAGTTAAATATGTCCTTTCACGGATATTTTGTAGAGCTTAAGGAACTGACAACTATCTGTTGCTGTAGAGCAACAGAAATGTTTGTGTTGCAGTTCCAGAGCATGAATGATGAACCATGAGATCAGCACTAGAACAACCATTTGAGACCAGAGCAGACACGCTGCTGGCCTTTCTTCCTGACCTGGGTGTCCTGAGGTCTGTAGCTGCACATAGCAAGTTCTGCTCCCACAAATGCATGGCACGCACCTCATGGCCTTCCCATTGCTGTCTGCCTGTAGGTCTGTATCCAAACCTCTTTAAAAGAAACTGGTTAATTCTCACTCTGATGGCCTCATTTTACCTTGACTACAATTGTCACAACCCTACAAACATGAGGTCGCATTCTGAGATAATGTGGACAGGACAGCAACATACCTCTGCTCCCTGGGGACACAACTCTACTCAACAGTTTCCTTACAGACAATAAAAATAGCATTCCAAGACCAACTTAGGAGATGGAGACTCGTGTCACAGCTGTTCCCCTTTACAGCACTGTCGGACACAGCCCAAGCATGGAGTCGTGCCAGGGGAATTCTGAGTGCTTGCGAGAAAACAAGAGAGAGTCCTGTGAGCTCAGTTTCTTCAAAAACACAGAACTGTTCGTGGAACAAACGTGATTGTGTGCCCCTCCCAGGCGAGGATAGCAGTGAGTTTATTTCGGCTGTCGTTATTCATGGGCCTCTGCAGAAGAACGTGATTTTGCCACAGGTGGCTATTCCTTGCAATTGTACACTTTACTTGGGTGACTTCTCAACCCTCAGGGTATAAACTGCCTGATGCTCTGAATAAGGTTGGCCATTGCATGACACTTTAGTCTGCGTCACTTTTACGCCCTACTCTCCCAGGTTCATGCCACAAACTACAGCAGTAAACACAGTACTACAAAGCTGTATTGTTTAGCACAGAACAGAGAAAGGCAGAGACTGTCAGCAAGATGGTTCTGGGTATAAAGACACTTGCAGCCAAGATATCCTGAGTTCCATCTCCAAGACCCACGTGGTGCAAGGTCAGAAACAACTCCTGTAAGCTGACTTCTCACCTGTGGCATGTATGTGCACCCCGATAAATAAGCAGATGGCTGAATATATTGTAAAAAGAGGCAGGCAGAAGAGAAAAAGAGCTGCACTGTACTGAAAAGGAAGATTAAAATATGGAATGACAGTGGAACTTAATTTCTATAAATACTTCAAAACTGATTAATAACTACTAAAGCTGGATGGGGACTTACAGATTCAATAATACGCTGAAGGGATTGTTTTTACAAACATCGCTTTTTGATAATATTCACTATTGACCGTATCTGTGGAACATGTTAACTAGTGATTTACAGGAACTCAGATGATGAGAATTCATACTAACCGTAAAACTGCAAAATATAACATGATTGGCCTACTGAAGCTGATATGTTAGGGAGTAGCAAGGACGTTAAGAAACAGTGTTCCCTCCTAGTTTAAAATACAGCAAGATAAATCTGACACAGCATCAGAGGCATGTTTCATCTGCTCACACAATGCTGATGACCAGATTTAAGCGGGGGGACGGGAGGGAGGGCAGAGAAGTTCTTTGATGTAAGACACGAACATGTATTTAACATACTTAGCTTTTATGAATCCGATGCACATACCTGGGGATTAGAGCATTTTATCTCCAATGACTCCAAGTCAACATGGAGACAGACAACAAATGAATGCCTTCCATCTGGTCCTGGAGGAAGCAGCTTTTGAGAGGTGACCGCCAGAGTAGAGGTGCATCCCATAGGCTCCACTAGGGAAAGTGTCACTTGCTTCCCAAGAAGGGTATATATGCTGAAATGATGCAAGCTTATGGTCCAAGGAAATGCATCGCCTATAAGAGAACAAAATTATGTGGTTCATTAACATCAACAGAAAATTATCTAGCATTTCTAAATGAAGTGTAATACTCGACACAGCAAAGGTGGGGTCTCAGAGAAGCAGGTATAAACAACTGACATGCTAACTAAAATAATCAATTTAGGTTTTTGTTTTTTTTTTGGTTTTTTACGAGACAGGGTTTCTCTGTATTGTTTTGGAGGCTGTCGGTCCAGCCTAGCCTCGAACTAACAGAGATCCGCCTGCCTCTGCCTCCTGAGTGCTGGGATTAAAGGCGTGCACCACCACCACCCGGCTACCAATTTAGTTTTAATATTTGCAATTGCAATAATATACATTTGTACTCTTCATTGTGGACATTATGAACAATATAAGAGCAAAATTAAACACAAGAAATAAAAAAAGAATAGAAGTCAAAAACTCTCTTTGCCCACTTTGGTGGGTAGTAAAACTTTCTGCCTTCGGAGACTGTGTAAATGGACTGCATTTAACTATATGCAGTGACACTGTATGGACAGGAGACCCGGCTATAGAATGAGAGGGAGAAATGATTTATTTATTATTGTGTGTGGCAACCCACACAAGAATAACATGGCAAGCTATTGAAAATGGAGGCTCTGGGCACTGTCTTGGAAGTACTGAGTCAGAAACTCTGAAGGGGAGACTCAGAAGCATCTCCACACATTCCCTGGTTGCTTCCTAATGTGCATGAGGGACATTGTAAAGGGTGCACACTTGACTAAGAATTTAGCATTCGTAAATATAAAAATTAAGAGAAAAGGATACTTTTTCTGTGTTTAGTAATTCATCTCATACAAAATCAAACATCTGAGAATGTTTCTTTGTAGCTATAGGTAAAGTACTGTGATATACTTTAAAATGTCCACCTGGAATATTTAACACTCATTATTCTGTTCAAAATTTATGAAAATTAATTCCTATCACCTAATTGAGACTGTCTAATTATGTGAGTACTTGTAAGTATAGAAAGGACAGTCTAGTTATTATTGAAATGATGCTAGTATTTGGAAACATACAGAGATCATTATTGTCCAATTGGAGAGGTATTTAATACTTACTATTGATATTTTTTATTTTTTATTATTTTTTACTATAGATATTTTATAACATATAAAAAAGTTAAATATCAAAATATGAATCTACTATCCATTATTACATTCCTAATTACACAGTAACTGCTACAGTTCCCTAATAAGTTCCAAGACGGAAGCACTGAAGCAAAAGATAGGACCATGGACCACAGACAGACAGATATATATGTATATATGTATGTATGTGTATGTATATATATATGTATATATGATAACTAGATACATAAAAAGTGTGAATGTTCAAAATATTTAAAAAGAAAAAGCATAGTAAAAAATACCAATGGAGGGGGCAGCAACTAAAATACAGCAGTAAGACGAAGATACTAAAAGGGAAATAAGAAGAGAAAATTAATGGATAACAAACAGCAGATCAGCAGATGAAGCCAACAGATTACTACTACACTAAATAAAAATGATCTACATACACAATCTAAAAGTCACATTGTCGGGCTGCATAACGAGGAAGACCTAGCTAGATGTAACCACAGGAGAAACACTAAGATTCAAAGACAATTACATTTAAGGTAAAAGGAGGGGAAGTATATAGCCATCCTGCAAGAAAGCCGGAGTATCCATAACTAGCAGATAAAATAGATTCAGGACAGCAGCACCCGAAAAACAGAGAAGTATTTCACATAGCATGAATCCAAGGCCATCCTTTCAGTAAGACATAAAAATCTAGTAACAGAGTCTCAAATTTTATGACTCAAGAGTGGCATGCTTTAAAGTGCCAGGGAGAAACTACTAAAAATAATGGTTATTGGTTTCAATACTCTTTAATTATGACAGAGTAAGTAAGTGAAACTCAGTAAGGCTACTGCAGAGTCAGTAAATCATCAATAACCAATTAAGAAGCAGAAAAGTAAACCGATAAATAAGGCATATAAAAACAGAACAAAAATCTAAATGGGGAGGTAGGAACTCACCAACAACTTGGTGGAAAATAGGATTCAAGCTTCATATCGCCTTGATACAAAAACCAGACAAAATCTCTAAGAGAATACTACAGCCTAAAATCCTTCAAAGAAAACAATTCTTAAACTGCCAACCAAATATGCACCTATGGAGATGACAGCACAGAAGACAAGCTTTCTTTCACAGTCGGAATCCTCCAAAGGACCACGTGGAAAAGATCTGGTTCCCAGTGTGTGCTGAGGTGAAAATCTGAGAGGACGTAACCTCGTGTACTTTGCCAGGGCACACAGGATCAACAGAACATTGGTTCTTTTCCCCTTTTCCCCTTCCTTCTCCATAAACCATCTCTCCAGCCTTGTACATCAATATTTATAGCAGCTATATTAATAATAGTAAAGAAAAGAAATCCCCCTAGATGCCCATTAACAATGAAGTTGATCATTAAAATTTGCTACATATGCAGAAAGAAATTTTATTGTACCATAAAGAAAAAAAAAACGTAAATTACAATAGTAGGAGAGACAAGGAAGACGGGAGAGAGAGGTACAGAAAGCTTAATCTAAATAAAAGGGGCTGGAGAGATGGCTCAGCGGTTAAGAGCACTGGCTGCTCTTCCAGAGGACCTGGGTTCAAATCCCAGCACCCACATGGCGACTCACAACCATCTATAATGAGATTTGATGCCATTGTCATGCCTGCAGGCATACATGCAGACAGAACACTGTACACATAATAAATAAATAAATCTTTAAATAAAATGCGTATGGAAATGGCAGTGAAGCCTGTTGTGCTGTGTGTAACATGATCACAACGATTAACCCTGAATATCAACAACAAGCAAAACTACAGAAAACCTACAATTCTCATGGAAACTGAACAACTCTCTACTGAGTTACCACTGAAAGAAATAAATAAATTAAAGACTTCCTGGAATTCAATGAAAATGAATGCATACCATGCCAAACTTGTAGGACACCATGAAATCAGTGATAAGAGGAAAGTTCATAGCACTAAGTGTCTGCACATAGAAATTGGAGCGATCCCATACCAGAGATCCCATACACTTGAAGCTCTAGAACAAAAAGAAGCAAACACAAGAGGAGTAGACAGCTAGAAATAAACTCAGGGCTGAAATCAATAAACTAGGAACACAGAGAATACAAAGAGTCAATGAAACAAAGAATTGGTTCTTTGAGAAAATCCACAAGACTAACAAACCCTATCCAAACTAACTAAGAGGCAGGGAGAGAATATCTAGAAGCAAAATCAGAAGCAAAAATGGGGATATAATAACAGATACCCCAAAATCCAGAGCATCATTAAGTCATACTACAAAAACCTGTACTCCACAAAATTGGAAAATCTAAAACAAATGAACAATTTTCTAGATAGATAGCACTTATCAAAGTTAAAGTAAAATCACATAAGTAATTTAAATAAACCTATACTACCCAAGGAAATAGAAGCAGACTCCAACCCCAAAAAAGCCCAGACCCAGATGGCTTTAGCACAGAACTCTACCATACTTTCAAAAATGAGCTAATGCTGCCGGGCGGTGGTGGCGCACGCCTTTAATCCCAGCACTCGGGAGGCAGAGGCAGGCGGATCTCTGTGAGTTCGAGGCCAGGCTGGACCGACAGCCTCCAAAACAATACAGAGAAACCCTGTCTCATAAAAACCAAAAAAAAAAAAAAAAAAAAAAAGAGCTAATGCCAATACTCCTCAAATTATTTGATAAAACAGAAACAGAAGGAATATTACCAAATTCATTTTAGGAGGTCATAGTCACCCTGATACAAAAACCATACAAAGAACCAACAAAGAGGATTATAGACCAAGTTCCCTCATGAATATTGATGTAAAAATATTCAATACAATACTGACAAATCAAATCCAAGAACATATTAAAAAGATGATCAAGTAGGTTTCATCTCACAGATGCATGAATAGTTCAACATACAAAAAAAATCTGTCAATGTAATCCACTATATAAACAAACTTAAAAAAATGATCATCTAGTTCACTAGATGTTGAAAAAGCCTGTGACAAAATCCAACACCCCTTCATGATAAAGGTCTTGGAGAGATCAGAGATAACAGGAACATACCTAAACATAATTAAGACAATATACAGCAAGCCAATAGTCGATATTAAATTAAATGGAGAAACTCAAAGCAGTTCCACTAAAATCAGGGACAAGACAAGGTTGTCCAATCTCTCTAAATCTATTCAATACAGTAGTTGAAATTTTACATACAGCAAAAAGACAACTAAAGCTTATCGAGGGGATGATATGATAGTGTATATATAGGTAACCCCAAAAATTCTAATAGGGAACTCCTACAGATGATAAACACCTTCAGTAATCTAGAGGGAGACAAGAGTAACGCAAAAAAAAAAAATCAGTAGCTTTCCTATACACAGATGACAAACAGGATGAGAAAGAAATCAGACAAACATCACCCTTCACAATAGCCAAAAATAACATAAAATAGATTGGGGTAACTCTAACCATACAAGTAAAAGACCTGTATGACAATAACTTCAAGTCTTTGAAGAAAGAAATTGGAGACGGTATCAGAAAATGGAAATATATCCCATGCTTATGGATCAGTAGTAAAAATGGCCATCTTCCCAAAAGCCATCTACAGACTCAATGCAATCCCCATTAAAATTCCAATTCTTTACAGCCCTTGAAAGAATAATACTCAACTTCATATGAAAAAAACAAAAAACTCAGGATAGCTGAAACAATCCTGAACAATAAAAGAACTTCGGGAGGTATCACCATCCCTGATATCAAACAGAGCAATAGTAATAAAACCCACATGGTACTTGTATCAAAACAAGCAGGCAGAACAGTGGAATCAATTTGAAGACTCAGATGAAAATCCACACGCCTATGGACACTTGATGTTTGACAAGAAGTCAAAATTATACAATAGAAAAAAAAAGAAAGGAAATCATCTTCAATAAATGCTGCTGGTCTTACTGGATGTCAGCGTGTGGCGGGATGCAAATACATCCGTGTCTATCACCCTGCACAAAACTCAAGTCCAAGTGGATCAAAGACTTCAACATAAAACAAGTTACACTGAGCCTGATAGAAGAGAAAGTAGGGAATAGTAACTTTGAACTCACTTACACAGGAGACTTTTTTCTGAACAGAACACCAATCACCAAAGCAATAATATCAACAATTAATAAGTGGAACCTCATGAAACTGAAAAGTTTCTGTAAGGCAAAGGACACAATCAATAGGACAGACGAATAGCCCACAGAATGGCTGTCTTCACCAACCTCACATCTAACAGAGGGTTGATATCCAAACTGTATAAAGAACTCAAGAAACAAGACAGTAACAAAGCAAATAATAAAAATAAGGTTAAGATCTAAACAGAGACAATAGAGGAACTGCAAATAGGCAAGAAACACTTAAGGAGATGTAACTTTGTTTGCCATCAGGGAAATGCAAATCTTAGATTCCATCGTACACCTGTCAGAATGACTACACTCAAAAACACAAGTGACAGCTCATGCTGGAGAGGATGTGGAGCAAGGGGAACACTCTCCTCTGCTGGTGGGAGAGCTAACTTGCACAGCCAATTTGGAAATCGAGGATAGTTTCTAAAAAAATTAGTAATCAATCTACCTCAAGACCGCTCTTGGGCATATATCCAAAGGATGTTTAATCATACCATAAGGACACTTGATCAAATATGTTCATAGCAGCTTTATTCATAATAGCCAGAATCTGGAAGGAACTAGATGTCCCTCAACAGAAGAATGGATAAAGAAAATGTGTCAAGTTTACACAATGGGATATTAGCTATTAAAAACAATGACATCATAAAATTTCCTGGCAGATGAATGGAACTAGAAAAGATCATCCTGAGTGAGGTAACCAAGACCCAGAAAGACAAACATGGTAGGACCTCACTTGCAAGTGGATATTAGCTGTAAAGTAAAGGATAACATTTGTCTCTACTAACATAATATATGTATCACCAAAAGACAGTGCTAAAGTAAACTAAAAATTTTGAGAAATAATGGTACCTCAGTAGGCCCATTAATTGTAGCCAGTATAGCATTCAGGTCTATGATGTGGGAAGTACATGTGTATGGGGAAGAAATACATAGGATGTGTCTGTAATTGTTTCTTGATTTTGTTGTAAACCTAAAATTAAGTGTCACAATACTACCATACACATTTTACAATGATTTTAAAATATAAAAATTGAGCAGGAAAAAATATTGCCTTTTTCTTACTGTCCACGGGGGAAAATATGAATTCTTTAATTTAATCAGGAAACTGCAAATATTCAGCTCTGTCACATTGATCTCTGTTGGATGTAAATGTTTTAGACATTCGGGAATGCAAACTTGAGTAGCACAGAACAGATGGAACAAGAATCCATCTTAGCATTTAGGAGCTATGGAACCCATAAATTAATAGAGGATTGAGCAGGCTGAATGTGGGTAAGAAGAGAATAGAGCCTTGTTGATAGCCAGGTTGAGGTGGTCTGAACACTGCACCACAAGAGATGCAAACCCCCCATCTAATTTCATCACTGGGAGGTTGAGGCCTGGGCTTAGGAATGGCCTAAAATCTAACATCATTTGTAAAGTATGCATGGTCATTCTCAACACATTTAAGAATATCACAATAAAAATAAGGTTAGAAGTTTTTCTGAGAGTCTAAGGATCTCTATTTTTGTATACATAATTTAAGAATGGAATCAAACATGCCTAGAAAGATGGGAAAATAAAACATTGAATGAAACAGCACATCACCACCTTCATAACTGATAGAAGTTGATTGTGAAACTGTTCTTAACAACTCAAAATGGAACACTATATATAAACCAATAGAGGGAACAAAGCAAGGACAAAGAACCTTCAGGTTGTACATGGATGCTGAATAACTCCACATCAGTTCTACTGAATCTCACTAAATCCAACAGCAAGGTTTTAACTTACAAATGATCTCAATATTCCATTTCTGTCAAAATATTTTATTAAAGTCACAGGCAACTCTTTCAAAGAAGAAATAACAAACCTCTGCTAGGCACAGGGTAGAAACCCATCTGCGCAGAGGTGTTGGCTGGATGTAACAAATGACATTTGCAAGGCTCAGTGCAAGTGCTCCCTAATGAAACTCAAGATGCTGACGTTGACCCAAACACCGTCCATAGACTGAATCTGCCTACAGCAGAGGCCATCTCTTCCCATTGCATCTGAAACCAGATGATGGATTTCAGCATGGAATCCCACACCTAAAACTTCAAAATCAGGGAGGGCACAAAGGGCCTTAATTCTCTCATTAGATAGCTTCCACTGCACCCCTGCTAACCATTTCTCAAAATTTCTAGAAAGGCTCTTAATAAAGAACCTGTTTGAGTTACCAATGGACTTCCAAACAGTATTGACCAAGAATTGTATGGGAACTTCATACAGACTAGAGGTGGTATAGTGAGCTCCGTGCTTTCCACCAAGAATTGTATGGGAACTTCATACAGACTAGAGGTGGTATAGTGAGCTCCGTGCTTTCCACCAAGAATTGTATGGGAACTTCATACAGACTAGAGGTGGTATAGTGAGCTCCGTGCTTTCCACATGCAACGCTAGATGACGGAAGAGAGCGAGAGTAGGACAGGCATCACATTTATGCTCCTCACCTTAGTAGGGAAACCACAGGCTGAACAAAATAATTAATATTGTGATGAGAGGGGGTGGAAGGAAGGAAGGAAAAGAAGGCCAGGAAAGAGATAACAAACTGTGCTGTTGAGCCTAATATCCAAAAGGATGAGACCTACTACAACGTCAACGATTTTAAAATTTCAGTCACAGAAGACAATTCACTATGATACCATTTATACAAAGTATCTAAACACTAAATTCATACAGATACAATGCAGATTAACAATTGCCACAGGCTGAGATTAGAAAGAATGGAGAGTAATGTACAAGACGGTATGTCTTTTATGGGAAAGTAAAATATTCTAAAATCAACAACAGTGGTGATCGCTCAAAATTGTGAACACACTGAAGAATGTTAAATTAGATAATTTAAATGGAACCCTGTGGCATGGGAATTACATCTTTAAAGTAGCTACACAAATATTAATGAGCATCAGTTAGATGCCAGGAGAAATCATTTCAACCTTACCAACTCAGTTCTATACCTGAGAAAGATTTCCCACAACTCACTAGTTGAGTATAACACAATCGTTCTGAGTAGAGCATCTGCATGGGATGTACAAGGATCTGATACGGATTCTGAGCACCACAAGATGGGGGCAGGAGAGAGGTCTAGTATCCAGATTCAAACTGGAAAGAATCATGTGTCCAAGGTGCTAGAGAAAGAAGGCCTACTCAAGACAAAGACAGTGCAAAAGGAACTTCTAAAAAGTCTTCCTTTTAATATGTTCTATTACCAGCCCAGAAAGCAAGTTTTCAACAGACTTTTCATGGAAGGTGGAGAACTGAACATCAAACTGGAAACTATAGCATACACAGGCTGTCTGCTTTCAGGCAATAAACAGAATATACAGTAATCCAAATACTATTCTTACATTTTAATGATATACAGTAAAAGGAACATAACTCAAAGATTCCTGGTGATAATTTTCTATCCCCATAGACTTGGGCATCATCCGTCCATTGTCTGAGAAGCTTCTATGTGCCGTCAACGGGAAGTAACAACGAGGTCTACAAGTGAACAATGTGAAGAGAGTGAGAGACTCTGAAGCACTCAAACCAGATGGGATGTCTTTGTTAAAACCCTCCCCTCAAGGCTCAGGGATCTATGAGGAAGAGGACAGAATAAGAGCCGGAGGTGGTGGATGACTCTACATGAATAATGTCTTCCACCCAACAGGAATGATACACATTAAGACCACGCAGTAGGTGACATCAACCTCAAGACTTGCACAGGCTGAAAAAGCAGACAAAATCCTAGCACAGAAAAGCGAAAGTGAATGCAATCCCACCTTAACCAAGAAGCTATGAAATTGGTAACTACTGGGAATGAGAAAATCAGTTTTCTCCAATGGAGTGTCAGTAGGTCTACCAACCACACTCAGGGCAGGTCCCACGCCCAGGAATAGCTGCCTGGCACAAAATAGGCTCTCTTTGTTCTGGTTTGGTATTCTTCTGTCCTATTGAGTTTCTTTTGGTAGTTTTGATTTTCCTTTCTGTTGTTTTCCCAGCGTGTGTGTGTGTGTGTGTGTGTGTGTGTGTGTGTGTGTGTTTGAGAAAAGGGACATGAGTTGGGTGGGTAAAAGGTAGAGAGGCAGTGATAATCTGGGAGGAGTTGAGGAAGGGGAAGGAACATAGTCAAAGTGAAGGTCATACAAAGTCTTTAGAAATAAAGTAAGCTCAAACCAACTTTCATCCTAATATTCCCTGTTTGTAATTTTCAAATAACATATCATATATTTTATAGATAATTTACATTTATAAATGATTTTAAAGTATGAGGGCAACAAAATATACCAGTACACAGTACAATTGTAATAAATCTTCATGCAGAAGTTGGCTTACATGTATACTAACATATATACTAACATACATACTTACATGTATGCTAACATATCAGAAACACGTCAGGGCAGAAGAGACAGCTGCATGGGTAAGAGCACTGCTGCTCTACCAGAGAACCAGAGTTCCAGTCCCAGCACATACGCGGCAGCTCACAACTGTCTGTAACTCCAGTCCCTGCATACACAATGCACTTTCCTGATCTCTCTGGACTCTGCTCTTAGGTGGTTGGTGTTAGACACACATGCAGCCAAAGCACTCATAGGGATGAAATTAAAATTGGGGGGTGGGTGAGGGCTAAACCGCTATCATAAAATAACAGTATATAAGAATGTTTAAACGTACCCTCTTCAAGGATGGGCCGCGGGATGACAAAGGGAATCTCCTGCAGAGGCTCCAGACACTTGTGTCCAGCACTGATGATCTTTATTTGCGGCAAACAGAGCACGAGTGTCCCTGGTGTGCTGGTTTGTCCATGGTACCAACTTCTTACTGTCCCAGGGATGTCACCAGATACGATTGTGCTTGGAGAAGGCAGGCTGTCATTTGGGATGAACACACAGCAGGACTGTACATCAAGCTAGAAAGGAAATCAGATTTAAAATATTTGGGTCAGATAACACATACGTTTGAACTACTAATATCTTCACAATAAGTAACGAAGTCAAAAATAGAAACACGCCCTGTGTGTGTCTTTATGAGTTGTTTGACTTAAAAAATCAAAATGACAATTGAAAAGTATTGTTTCAAGCTATAAACTTGATCAAAGCGTCCAGTGACATGAGGTCAAAATTGAAGCTGCCATTCATGGTTTGCTTTCAAGAGTCATGATCTAGGTGGAAATGGGCTGGGAAAATGAACACATATCCCTGCTTCTCCAGTTCATTAGATCTGGTTAGTGACAGCCAGGTAAGAGAAAACTTAAAAAAAAAAAGCTATTTCTATGCCCAATTAGAGTCCTGTATTTTAAAATTACAAACTGAAATAGATGAACACAGACTTAAAAGACTCAGTTCACAGCTCTAAACAACCATTAAAACAATGTTCCTGTGTAACAAACTTTGTGTATACACCCAAAGAGGCTGTGTTTGCGCACATGTGTGTGTGCACGTGTGTACAGCATATGTATTACACATGATTAAATGAAAAGTCTTAGAAGTCAAACTGCTTTTTGCATTGTAGTCTTCAAGTTATTATGTAAATTGTGATTTTACATAAAAGTTTAATTCCTCTTAAAGACAGAAAATAATTCTTAATTCAACATTAGGACCAAATTAGACCCTGATGCAAAACTTATTGGTATCTGCTTGTTTTTTCAATTCAGGAGCAGTGAAGATTAAGTTCTGTTATTCTTAGCTGACTACAAATAGTATTTTGTATGCAGTTATAATATTGCCTCAAAATCCTGCATACCTGAGTTATTTTGTTAAGCAAAACTATACTACAACTTGTTAGTATAGAAATTATGTGACAAAGATGTGATTTGAAGGTATGGTAAAAACTACATTGTTTACTAAGTCTTAGGATATTTCAGCTAATTGTGTTAGCAAGGATACGATCTTCTATAAACGATAATAATAGGTACAGTAATAACCCTTCATTCAAGGTAATGTATTTCTAGTGAGAGCATGGAATTCCACTTAGGTTTTCTTGATACAATAAACAACTCATTAACCTAAAAGTAAACAACACCATTTATGTTGGCTTCACACTGCTGGGTATGGACAACTACTGAATCCAGGGAGAAAAAATGGTACATGGCCTTCTGTAAAAACAAACGCGTGTGGTGTATCAACTGATTGCTAGTAGTTTCAGAACCTTATCTTGCAGCTTAGATCATTTAAGGTTTCAAGTGTTAACAGTTGGTCAGGTGAAGATCACAATGTACTTCACTGAGAAATAAGTTTAAATAGTCCCAAATATATCAGCAATATGTTTTAAGTAATTAATGTAATTCATTAGTGACGTTTAATTGTAAAATTTACAATGGCATAATAAGTGAGTATTCTTTTCTGATTCAGGTTAAAAGAACAAAATATGAATAAGGACTAACAATTCATATAGATATTAAAGATAAGTTAAAAATGCTCTCAACAATGTAAGGCCATCTGTTTAATATATTAAAACATGTGACCAAATACAGAAAGTCAGGCTTAGAAATACAATTTCAATTGCACTCTCATTTCCAATATCATGGAAATAGTTGACTAAGTGAAAGGTCAGCTATTGCATACCATGGATTCAAGACGAATGTATACAAAACAGAAAGTAAATGCATGTATGAGCTTGTTAAAAAGTCAAGAAGACACGCTTCCCAAAGTGAGATGTATGTGATAGGGGTTCCTTTGGTGATTAGATGCTAAACACGTAAGCGTTCAAATCTGTTATGGAGTAGCATGTTTTCTATACACTGAGGCTATAACATGAATCTTTTTACGTTTTCAGAGTAACTGTTACACCATGTGTCTAAACTGGGGTTTAATGTAAAATTCTGAGTGATTTATGTTACGGGGCATAAATGTGCGGCTGTAAATTCTGTATTAATGTAAAGACCTGAAAATCCAAGGGAAAGAAAATGAAGTAATCTGCCAGTAAGACATCCTGAGAACGGGGGTCAGATTTTGTTCATGGAAACCACCTGGTTGGGACCCTCTGCACCACACCAAACACAAATGATCTTTAAAAAAAATATATCCTATTCATTAATGCTTTGCAGCTGCACTGACTGTTACTTCATTTTCCATAGCAACACCCTTTCTGTTTCAAGGCTCTTGTTTCAGTTTTGGTAGCAACATGCTCTTTTGCCAATCCTGAACATATCCATGGGTGAAAGTAAGGGGACTGTTACAAATTCTTAAAGTAGAACCACCTCTATTTAATTCCTACTAGGTCAGGGGCTATGCACTTAGGTGTCAGATGCAGATGGTAAATGAATAAATTAAAAAAATGTTTGGTATTCATATTTTAACAAATAAAATTATTGCAATGTATTCTTTTTCTTAAATTTCAAGTTTCTGTGTTATTAAAACAAATCCAAACCATGCCGTTCTCTACCTCTATATGTGAGATTTCAAAATTAGAAGCATGTTCTTTTCTAATGACAGATAGAAAGGGAGTAGATCCAGAGGACAGGGGAGAGGAGGGGAGGGGAGGAGAGAGAGGGAAAACTGTAATCAGTAAATATTTTATGAGGAAAGATTTTCAGTGACAGGGGAAAAAGAAAAAGCATTTTTGTGATTTATGTGCTGCATAAATGTGATGGTGACTCATGAGAAGAGAAATATTCACACGTTAATCTGAAAACTCTGCACTAGTCAATGCCCATCTTACGGAACACTTCATATGTAAGTGCTTCCTAATGCTGTGCTGGGTGCCCTTTAAAAGATAATGGCTTCCTGTTCCCAAATAATATGTTCCCTTCATTTGAAAAAAAAATTTTTAAGAATAACTGCAACTACTTAAAAATGCTATAGAATGAGACATTCTCTATATGAATATTCTTTGAGAAACAATTTCAAGTTAAAGAAAAAAATGAACATTGTAAAATACGTCACTCGCGGTTTTTCATCTGTGCACTCTTTAAAATGTACAATGATCTGAGCTGGAGCTCAGAGACACAGAGACAAAAGAAGTAGGCCTGACTTAAAAAATATTAATAAAGACTGAAAAGAGAGCTTCATTAACATGTTAGACTTTTGAGCAGTACAAAAACGTTACCAGACAGTATTTCAGAGAATTTCTGGATATCACACAACTTTCAGCAGACCATAAACTCGAAGTCAACACTGTACCATTTGATTTGCGCTAAAGCCCAAAGCACTGAGCCCGGCATTTACTAGTAACTGTTCCCAATTAATTTGTGATACAGCACACCACATAGTGCCTAGCATTCACTAGGTGGTCAACAAAGAACTGTTAAATATGTAAATGATGATTTTAGCCACCAGAGATTAAAATCACTTCATTTATATTGTTCACTATTTTGTTACATAGAAGAAATTTATTGGGGCAATCTATAAAATTCACTTACTGGTCAGAGAAGTTCAAACAGAGCTGTGGTATATATATGTGATAAGTCATTTTCCTTAGGGGAAATACAACATTGACAGAAATATTATCAACTACACAAGTGCCAAAGATTAAATCCACAAACACTGTCTGTTATTTGTAAGACTAAATATATTGGCTCTCAAGGACATAAAAAGATGGACATGATGCGCATACTTTAAAATGTAATTATTTATCTATATATTTACGGGCTGTCAAAATTATCAGCCTACAACAAAACACATACACAGAACTGTAACCAAATTCATCCCCTGTTTTATGTTATTATATGGGGTCTCTACTGATATGATCAAACACCATAACCAAAAGCAACTTGGAGAGGAGCAGATTGGTTTCAGCTCGTAGGTCCCAGTCCCATTCATCACTGGGAGTTTAGGGCTGCACCTCAAGGCAGGAACTTGGCTGGAGGCAGGCACAGATGCAGAGGCCATGGAGGGTGCTGTGTACTGGCTTGCTCCTCATGGCTGGTTCAGCCTGCTTTCTTACATCTCCTGCCTACAGAGAGAAGATACCATAGAGCAGCCCACAGGCCAACCTGCTGGGGGCATTTTCTCAACAGTTCCTTGCAGACTCTACCTTGTGTCAGGATGACATAAATCCAGCCAACACTGTGTTTCATCAAAATATTTTGGGTATGGAATCTAAATATGGCTCAGATTGAGTTTCAAATAGAAATAAAATCTCAAGAACATGGGTTATCTTCCATAATTTTCCTATTCAATTTTGATGGGGGGGGGCAAATAACTAGAGTTGAATTTCGGGTTTCTCCTTACTATGAAGCTAATATGCACATACAGAGCTGTGAATGTCAAAGTTATAAAAACATGCTTTCATAATTAATGTGGCTGACTATTCAGCTGCCTGTCCTGAAATGTCTACTCAACTCATACTTGATCCTGAGATAAGTCAGGGAGTTCACCAGACATCAAGAAATATGATTGTATCATTACTGGCCACAATCAGGGTGAAATTCCCCAGGAGAGAATTCAATTGCCCTAGCTTAATTGGCTTACAGTGCTTTACTTGAGATAGCATGATTAACAGCCTCACCAGAGTCACACAGAAGTAGTTCTCTGTGTAATGGCAGGGTACCACTCAGGGATCAGAGACTCAGAAAACAGAACAAACCCTGACATGCTATAGGGTACCGGCCTGAACCTCAACACACATGAGCAAAACAGCTGAGCTCAACAACAGCAATGAAAATACTTTCCTTTCTGAGACAGTTCTATTTTTGTAACTTTATGCCATTGTTAATTAGGTGCTTGCAGAATAAACTGTAGCTTTCTGAAATATAAGATCATTGCTGATAATATTGGCCCTTGTGGTTTCCAGATAAAGAAAAACAGCAAAGAACAAATGAGCCTAATATAATCTGTTAAAACATTCCCAACCCCCCAAAAATGTCAAAGTCAACAAGCAGTATTACAAAATAACCGTTACGAGTATGTATAAAAGCCCTATTCTGACACTGAAAAAATAAATAGGTTATACCAAATATTGTTAATGCATTTATACTTCATGAGTTTTCCTACCCTAAGTATGAAATAACATGGTTTTAGCAAATATCAACTTTGGCTCCAAACTCAACTTTCCATAAACTCTGAAGTCAATTACATTTATTTCTTCAAAGTTTGACTAAGGGGACAATCTTCTGATGGTTTTAAAATTTATGATATTGAGTTTTATCTGATGATACGTTCAGAGTTTTCTGGTTTACATTTTGGTCCATAAAACATCTTAGAAGATGGAGAATGCCTTCTTTACAAACAATATTGTAACAGATTTTAATTATTTAATATGAACATATTATAATTTTATCTCTAAAACTTATATGAATAGGTTTGACACAGGGCCATGACTAGGAAGTAAAGTGTGTAGGTCAGAAGCAAGATACTTACTTACACAACGATATAATCATATGTAAATTAATATGCAATATACTTCCTCAAGATGAGGAACCATAAAATACATGGTGCATTTCAAAGGATAAGGGTGATAGTCTTGTTGAGTATTTCATCTGATTTCATGTTGAAAAAGAATAAGGGCCACCATTATTTCTATTTATTAGTAACTGACAATGAAATGAGATTAACTAAAGCTACTAAGGACATTGCATCATTATAAACAGACAACATCCTACAAGAATGGCAAAATTGGAAATAACTTTACAAAGGAATGGTATATTTCACAGCACAGATGAGCAACAGAAAGCCCAGAGTTAATACTCAAGCTCTGCCTGTGACTCTTGGAAATCCAGCACTCCCTGACCTACATGGACCTTCAAGCATGCTCTGACATTCATCTGGTAAGCTACTACCAGGGACATTTCCACTTCCAACGACTACTATAAAGTGGTGAATGTCTTGCTCTTACATTCTCCTTGATGTAACCACCAATGGGAAGATTCCCCAAATCAAATCTCTACTACAATTCTGTTCTGACTCTAGAAAGAAATGTTCCAAAATGCCAGTACATCTCACAACCGTTTCAAATATGCACATGAAATTCAACTGTGCTTTCTTCTTCTCCTGTTTAAATGGCATCACTGTTTACACCAGAGCCAGAATGCTGATGACCTCCTAGTCACACTGCTTTGCCATTCCCTAAATCCTCCAGTTAACAAGCTAACTTAAATTTGACTCACTTGGGGCGGGCGTTGGTGGCGCACACCTTTAATCCCAGCACTCGGGAGGCAGAGGCAGGCGGATCTCTGTGAGTTCGAGGCCGGGCTGGACCGATAGCCTCCGAAACAATACAGAGAAACCCTGTCTCGAAAAAACCAAAAAAAAAAAAAAAATTGACTCACTTGGTTAATCAACGAAACTATAGATTTTTGTATTTTGTTCATTTATTTTGCTTGTTTCTGGCAGTATGATAAATCTGATTCTGTTAATTTATCATGGGTATAATATAGAGCACAATTTGTATACTTGGTAACTTAAAGACATAAAAGCTTTTGATACTATTCAGAACCTAATTAAGCAATCAATATAAAGGGAATGTTTGGAAATATAATGATATATTTTCTAAAGCTGACATCTAACTTTATAGCTTACTACTATTATTCTTGTCCCATCATTAAAGTTTTTAAAATGGTATCAAAAAGGTAAATCCTACAGTGTTGTTCACTTCATTGTAGACTACACAAGGAATGGAGGAGGTAATTTTTACTACAACTATTAATATGAAAAAAATCACTCAGTGGCATGGATTACTTGGTTGTTTTTTTTAACTACTGCATTATAGACCACAGAATGGCATCAACTAGTTACTAATTAATCAGAGAATATTCATCTGGGCCAATGTAATATGGATATAAAATGTTCCCCAAACTCCTGTGTTGAAGACCCCTGATGGTGGGGTAATCCACTGATGAAACCACAGCTAAATTAGTTAGGAGGCAGGTCCTAGTTGGAGGCAGCCGGGCAGCAGGGATGTGCCTCGGGCTGGTGGATGCGGTCCCTGGCCTCTTCCCCACTTTCTAGATGCAGTGAGCTGAGCTTTCCTGCCCCAGGGCAGTGCTCAGCACAGCCCACGGGCAACGAAGCCAGCCAAGGACAACACAAAGGTCTCCAAACAGTGAGCAAAAACGAAGTATTCTTCCTAAACCGAGTGTGTGCGCTACTTTGTCCCAGTAACAGAGTATTACGTAGCTTTAGTCTGCCTCAGGGACTGGTGTAGCCAGGCATACTTGCATCCTTTCAGAGTCTCAGCATTTCCTAGAGGGTCTCTCTGAGAGGGGCTCCACACAAGATGGGCACACACACGTGTGTACTACACAGACTCGCTTTCTAGGATTCTGGTCAGACTTTTACCAGAAAAACTAGCAATAGTGAACAGAGAAAAGAAGACATGCATGTCACAGACAAGAAGTAGTTTCATGCAACAGTGTGTAAAGAAAACTCTAAGAAGGATACTTCCCCCAAACTCTATTATATATAAAATGTCAAGAAAATTCTTTCCTACTAGATTTAATATCTCCAAACTTGCTGAAACAAAAATGTGGACCATTAGTGTTGAAATCTGAGGCCAGGCTCATCCGGTGCCATTCTTCTGTGGCCCTAAGAGAGCTGGCCCCGCCCTACATGGACGAGCTGGCTCTGTGGACCCTGCCCTGGGAGAGCCAGCTCCACCCCTCACCACTGCTGCAGGAGAGATGATCCCAATGGCATGGGCAAGGGAGGGCTGGCTTTGCCCCTCAGCTGAGGGGGTGGTCCCACCCAAGCCCAGATCTAGGACTTCATCTATGACCTGCCGGGGCAAGGGAAGGAACCGGTCCTGCAGAAGCACAGCCACAGGACCTCGATGACTTGGGGCAACAGGAGGATATCCAGGAGGAGTTTCAGGGCCCATGGTGTTCTGACCGGAGGCTGTGAACCTGACCAACAACTGATTACAGTCAGCAATTACAAGTAAAGCTCTTTGCACAAAAGGTACATAACAGCTCCCAACACCTCTGACTAATGAATAGGTGATGGAGAAGTAGAAAAGGGGAGGGGCAACATGGGGTTTTTTAATTAAATTTTTATTTACTTTTTATTTTCTTTTGCTGGGGATGCTACAAGGGTGAAGACGACATACTGAAGAACTGGGAAATGAGTAGAATTAGGGTGGATGATATGAAATTCCCAAAGTATCAAGAAAAAAATTGTTTATTAAAAACAGTATGTTTTTCCTTCTAGATTTATTAATAAGGCCAAACATGCTGAAACAAAAATTCCAACTCCAAAATACTTTAGGTTGAACAACAAATAGATTGTGTTAAATGCATTAAAAAGTCAAAATAAATTAGAATAAACTTTAATATCCATAAAGACATAACTAAATAATAATTTTTACATTTAATTTATAATCAAGAAAAAGTTTAAGGGTTTTTTTTTTTTTTTTTTTTTTTTGGTTTTTCGAGACAGGGTTTCTCTGCATTGTTTTGGAGTCTGTCCTGGAACTCGCTCTGTAGACCAGGATGGCTTCGAACTCACAGAGATCCACCTGCCTCTGCCTCTGGAGTGCTGGGATTAAAGGCGTGTGCCACCAACACCCGGCTATTTAAGAGCTTTTATATACTAATTTGATACTACTTATATTTTTTCCCCTATCTGAGTGAAAACTAACTCAGAAATTAAGTTTTTAATCTTTTGGATAATATTTAAAAGAAATAGTATTTAGAATAAATGAGTTATTTTAAATTAAAATAAACATTTGAAAACACATTTATTTTTATAAAACATGTATTTTTCACATAATGTTAATTGCAAAAAAGCAAACTGTTCCAATGGACATGAGATAGAATATGGGAATATTGTCTGTAATGAGCTAAGACCATCAATGAGACAGAATACAGAAACGCTGTCTGTACTAAGCGTAGTACACCAACGTACATGAGACAGAAGTGTCAGAAAAATTATAGTGCTATTAAATATGCTAAAATTTTATAACATTATGAGAAGTAATTTTTCTAATATTCAATTTACCTGTAGTGTAAGACTCTTCACTGCATTCCATAATATTCCGATAAATTCTTTCATTCTTTCTTCGGGATGTCTACTGCCTTCATGGATGTGTAGCATGGCCTTCACAGGAACGGACAGCGGTCGGGACTCTAAGTATAAGAACAGCAAAGCGCATACACTGAAATTCCGCAAAGCTACACTGAGAGAGTTTCTAAGACACTCTCTTTCTCTGCTTAAAACCGTGGATCTCCGTGAGACCCTGAGTGCCACACTTTGCTACCAGCAGCCAGGTGGGCATCAGATGGCCGAGACCAACTTCTGAAAGGAAGCAGCGTTCTCCAACTGGTTACACAGAGAAGCACCCCACCCCACTAACTCGTCACCATGAATTGATGGGAACCAGGTCTTTCATCAGTGCATCTTACTGATGAAAATGGCATAGACTTTCTCAATTAAAAAGTATTTTATGATGACAAAAATTAAGATATACAAAAGGCTTATGTCATAATCAAATAGATATTCTGCTGCTAATGAAAATTTTCTTCTTCAAGAACTACAGGATTTCAAAATTTTCATAGGATTTCACAAATTGCTTTAAGCTATTGAAAAATTTCTACACCATGCAAATTATGATTTTATCTTCATAGAGTCATATGAAACTTAAACTGATATGTTACTACAAGTAGGAAATTTACATACAAAACAACAGAAGAGGGGGAAAAAGGGGAAGAGGAAGAAACGGTGACAGGAACAGAAAATGCTGAGCAATCACGACCTTCAATAAAAATTGTAATTTAACCGATTGAAGATGAGGTACAGTTCAAGGCATTGGCAGAAACATATTTTATATCTTTCACAATGGAAACAATGCAAAACTTTGTGATATAACCCAAATATATTTTTAAATGGTTTGTAAGTTTTAGTGAGAACTTATCTTCTAGATAAACAAAAGCCACAGAAACTGAAACACCCCTCGGCATACACGGCTCTGGGGTCAGGCGGAAGACGGCAGGTCAGGTGAATGCTGCAGTTCTGCTGTGTGTGCTGGGCTATGCACTGCTGTGTAACAATTACCTACGTCGAGTTTCCTAACACATAACTGACCTCATACTCACTGGGGCCTCTCTGCACAAGAAAGTGGCAACCTCAACATACTTTAGGTTAATATCAAAGTAATTAGAATTAGTTTGGAAAGATGAGTACAAAAGATTTTCACAGAAGTTTATGGCAAATTTTCAAAACTAGTGAAAATATTATTGCAATGAAATGACTCTTATAGCGTGGAACAAACCCATTTGGAGAATGGTAAGATTATCAAGTGTACTTCCACCTGACAAAGAGATGGGAGCCACTTTCTAAGACAACCGTGTTCTCCAGCACAGTGCTCTAACGAGGCAGGTGCAGGGAAGGCATGGAGACACAGCACTCATGCGTGAAGTCACCAACTAGTACAAGTTGTAAAAATCGGGGAGTCCTTAAAACCTGAGTGTAGCCTAAAAGCACTGTGTAAGTAAGAACAACATGGCATTTATCATTAAATAACAATGTGGCTATCAGAAATACAAATGTGCACTATTTTGAATATACTATTTTTATTTTCCAAAAGTCAACAGCTCACTTTTGTGTCTGGGGCTTTGTCGGGAAGTAAGATAACAAGTCCCACATTCAGCATGGTTTATGGGCAGGATAAATGTTCTGTATAAGCATCTACTAATACAGAACTATATTCACTACTGAAACTTCTGTAGCTCCTACTCACTGCACATACAAATAATCAGCCATTAAGCCCACAAAGGCCAGAAGGAATACTTTATTATCCAGACCCATCAAGATTGCTACATAAGGCAACCAATCACTAGGAGGTTATTATCTATTCCCTAGACAGGTGGCCAATCACAATGAGGCTATTAACATGTCCCAAGTCACTACAGGCAGTGGTGACAGAAACATTGGACTCTACAAAGCCCCCAGGGTGCATTCTTTCACCTACTATGTTCACTTCCTGTCCTGCAAATGCTGCACTATAATGTCTTATTTAATCAAATGCATAGAGGATGCATAGTATTCTATCATACTATAAATAATCTTAAAGCGATTTACCTTTTCTTACTGTAGATGCATGAAAGTTACATTCATCGCAGTGTAATTTTAAACATTTATTTTGAGTCATCAATGAATAGGAAATTCTGAGACATAAATTTTACTAGTTCAAAGCAACAATTAATTGTTCATATGCATATACTACCACTATTGGCCACCATATTTATTTACATGATGGGGAAAAAGTATTATACTGGGAACTACTTTAGCTTGGTGCTTCAGCTGTAGCACTTACCAGATGATGAGAAAAATCGATTTATTGATGCTAAGTGTCAGCTCCTGACCCATCAAAAAAAGCAAATAATGCTTACATCTCCTACAAAAACACTGCTCAATTAAAATGTCGTAATGTGTATAGATTAGTCTTTGAGGATGTTGAGACTGGGTTTGAACAGGAATGGCCTCCACAGATTCATGCCTCTGGGTGCTTGACCCATAGGGAGTGCACTGTTAGGAGGTGTGGCCTTGTTGGAGGAGGTGTGGCTTGGAGGTGGGGGGCCTTGAAGACCTTCCACACATCTTTGTTGGGCACATAGCATTATTATTAGGAATGATTTTAATACTGTTTTATAGCCAAAATAAATCGTAACATGATTCGTTTGAGATGACTTAGGGTTTGTGTCAAAAAACAGCTTTTAATCTTTTATCTAGGGATTGTCAACCATATCCTACTTATTTTTTAATCTGTATTTATAATGATCATTATTTTTGGTAACTTAACTTGGCAATATACATTTAAATAATTGAAAGAGAAAAAACGAGTTTTACAATTCCCTTTCAATTTCTAATGGCTAGAAGGTGTTTCAAGCTTTAAGCAACTTGTGACAAGACTGCAATGATGCCTGGGAACTTTCATAACACAGACTACATTCTATGCTATCACTCTTGGAAGCCCCTTGGGAAATAATGGCTTTTGGGTTCTGCTAGTCAGCATGCCATGGCATGTAAAATTGCATCTCATGCTGAGCCAACCAGGAAAATATATGTCATCACTATGTGACATTCAGAATTTCATCTGGAAACTATAATCTTGTTCTGACTGCTAAAAGGGAGTGAAAGGACTGCATTAAAAAAACCCTTGAATTTTTGCTGAATTCTTGCCAATTCATAAAAAATCGAGAATAACCTACTTATTCCAAAGAACTCCATAGTTGAGACACTTGCAATGTACTTATCAACACCACAATGTGTCTTCACATAACTTCATAGTTAACTGACATTATAGCTCAAATCACTTTTATAATGGTTCAAGCTAATGGATTTCTGGGAAAAAATTTACAGTGAAACAGATAGAGCTGAGAAATAAATTGTACAAACAAGAGCTGAGCTGTCAGAATTATACACATCCTAATTCCTTTCCCCGGGTAGGATAAACTTTAGGCTAAAAAGAGAACAGTAAGAATGAGTTTTGGAGCCTGTGATTGCAGCACCAGGGAGGGTAGAGCCCAAGATGGCAAGATCACAAGTTCCAGGCCTGGATGAGCTACAGAGCAAGACACCATCTCAGAAAGCCACGGGCTGCAGAGACAGCTCTGCTGTGCGGCTCTTTTTTAGCTTGCTTAAGCCCTGGCTTCATCCTTGTGGGGACTTGTAAAGTCGCTAGTCTGGTGTAAGTACAGCACGCTTACTTTAGATTATAACCTCAATCCCTGCAGACATGTGTACAATACCTACACTATTCAATTCTCAGAACAGAATGTGTGATTGCAGCTTATGTTATCTGCCCATTTTTAACTATGCTATGTCTAATTATGAAACAAAATATTAGCAGAAACGAAGTGTAATTCCTTAAAGAAATTATTCTTAAGAGCCATGTTTCAGCTGTCCATTCATTTTTATGTCATGCTACCTAGATACACGGCTGAGATAACAGTGGACACATCATAACAATTAATCTCCTGTACATAACAATTATGCAAGAATAGCACGCGATTCAGGACAAGTTGGGCAAATCCTCCCCAGGTACACTTCCGATAGACACTAAGCAAGATCTACTTCTCTTTAATCAAAAAGTGTTAGGCACGAGAGCTCAAGGTTGTCAGAGCATATATGCTGCTACAGTCAAGAAACCTATGTTCGGTGAGAGAAAAGCAGTCCCTGAAAAGACAAACGTCCTAATTTATTACCGTGCCGTGCATTGATGTAAGAGTTAAATGGTGTTAGAATACTGTTAAAGCACTGCAATGGAATAGCTGTCAGATTGCTGTAGGGCTGAGGATTCTAGAATCTAGTGCTTGAGAGCTGTTTACTGGGACCAGAATCCACAGACTGTAGTGACTCCCATGCACCAGGGGCAGTGGTGGAGAAACCAGAGCAATGCGTCCTGCATGGCCTCTAGCACACATCTCTGGCTTCCAAAGACTGAAATGTATGTCCTGGCTCTCCTCCCGGGACCTGGGACATAGTAGGTCTTCAATCCAGCCTTGGGTTCAGGATCTAACCAACTTCTCCATACCTATCTAGAACTGCTATTGGATCAAAGAAACAAGACCTCAGCGGAGAAAACAAAACAAATAAACAAACCAAAAAAGAATAGCACCATCCTAAGTTAGGGAAGGGCTGGCTGGAATGGCCAGGCTCAGTTCTAGCTCCCGTTCAGGGTAGGATCCACCGCTGCTTTACTTAGCAAGTCATGTTCGCCTAGGGTATAAAGCGCATAGTGGGCGGTCTTCAGTTCCAATGGTGCACACACAAGCAAAGCCAGCTGCCCGTCATAGGTTTCCTGTGCTCCTGGGCCCCGGCTCCTACGGAATTGTTTGCTTAGTTGTTTCTTGCTACCCATCTGTATAGTGGCGGAACTTTAACTCTCTGTACACAAGTTAGTGACCAACAAGCAGCAGACCTATTCACTGGATCTTCTTAATCGGACCCCACATGAGACGCTTACTCTAAATCATTCTAAAAACATGGATAGTAATATTTTAAACATAGTTTCATTTTTAAAAAAGGTATGTAAAACACAAAACTATAAACAATGATTGAACAAATTATTGAAGTATCTGAATATGTTACCTAATATGAGAAAGATACACAGTTTGATGGTATTTAA